AAAAAAAAATAATTGTTTAAATCGATACTCGTGAATCAAAAGTTAATATTTATACATCATAATAAATGAAGTGGAAGATGTCCTCTAAAATTAATAACTGAACAAAAGTGTCACTGGATTGAAGGAGGGCATCGTTGAACACTGACACTGGTGGAGTATAAAAAAATGTAATAAAGTATTTTTTCGACATAATTCATCATCATTTTAAAGATGGTGCTTGGTTAAATTACTCGACAACTGCAGGAAAAGACGCTTATATAATAGCTTGAATGGAAATAAGTGAGTTGAAATGAACCATTTTAAATTTTAAGAATGTCTTACAGAAATAAAATTAGTACTGATTTATTCTATAAAAGTTTAAAATCACGCATAACATGAATCAATCATATTTATTTTGATAGGATGGTGTTAACCGTGTAACTTAATGATGAACGTATAAATTCATACTTTAAGGTTTAATAAATATTWATTTGTAATACAATTTATTAATATTGTATACAGTTCTAATTGATTATATAGTGACGACTAAAGGGTTTAAAATTGATGTTTGGTATCAAGTAATAAAAAAGCCACTGGAATATGTGTTAGTATATTGCTTTTTCTGTTAGATTAGTGCATGATGTTATACATACAATTGTCTACGTGTGATAAAATTAATGTATTAAATCTCTCGATACAACTGAAAGTAGTTTAATTTAAAATAAAATATATTATACTTGGATATTTCGACGACAAGTCTTGCTGGAACACGATTAAAACAATTATTTTAAATCAGAATGAATTTTTTTTTAAACCTGCAGTCTTCGCGTCTCATAACGATTACTGGAGTTAATAAAACTTAAGACTCGGCCACAATGTTTAATCTATTATGAAATTATAATATATATATATATATATATATATTAAATGCAACGACCACAGCATAATATGTTATTGTTGGTATTGTTATCGTATTATGTTTTTCGATCTAAACATGTTACAGCGCTATAACTCTCTCTATTATAAATATGCATCGAATACGAATAAAATAATTTTATAATATTATAATTATTATAATTGTATACAAATATACAATGAACTGTCAAACCTAAATCAACGCATAATATATAGTATACTTTAATAATATCATATAATTTATATTGCTTACATTAGCGTTACTAATACGAATATTCTATAGCACCTATCTAAAATCGACCCGTTAGATACCTTGCAAGATTATCATTATATTATAGATATATAATATACAATGCGGCKTTAATTAAATAATATTAATAATTAATTATAATTAWAATTCACTTAATATAATTAAGTGAATTCTGTCAATTAAGTCAACAAGCGTACAATTTGGTCCAGCAATAATTCTATGTTGTTTTATTTCACAATTTTTTTTCTATGTGTAGGTATAGTTAGTAGTCATATTATGTTACACACCCCGGAAAAAAGCTCTTTGTCTATTTATTACTATTAAAAACCACGTGTTTTTGTGCGTTTTACTGCAGGGGAATGTTTTAATTTTTTTGTTACTAAAATTGTATATATGACAGGTTTTATTATTTATTTTATACACAATCATTCCATGTAATGTACAAAAATAAAAAAAACTGCTATGAATGCAAAATAAAACGTTCATCAAGAGCGGGTGAAAGATTTAGGAAACATAATATTGTTATAGTATATAATATATAGCGGACGGGGCCATCTACAGAATATATATTATTGATAACGTTTACGTTAACAATAAAATGTAGAATATATTTTTCACTAAGTATAAATATATAAAACAACAAAAAATTGCGTTTATTTTCGCTCAAAATACCAGCATCCAACCTAGACAAGATGACTTACCATCTTGTTGTCACTTATTGTCATGATACTTCTCACAAATAGGTTTATGTGCACGATTGTTGGGCCATCTAGGGAGTTATAAAATATTTTAAATATATTTATATATATATATAT